GCCTGCGGCCAGAGAGCTGGCGGGCCCAGAGTCGCAGGGTTGACCTGGGCCTGTCTCCTGCGTCAGCAAGCTCCTGCCCTTCCCCTCCACAGGGGATTAAGTCCCTCATTTTCTGGAAGCTGTATCTTTTCTTTTTCTTTTGGACCCTCAAGAATAAAGTCTTTCCCTGGTTTATGTAGCTCAGTGGATTGAGCGTGGGCCTGTGAACCAAAGGGTTGCTGGTTCAAATCCCAGTCCGGCACATACCTGGGTTACAGGCCAAGTCCCCAGTGCGGGGCACGTGAGAGGCGACCACACGCTGATGTTTATCTCCTTCTCTCCTTCCCTTCCCCTCTCTCTAAAAATAAATAAAGTCTAAAAAAACCCCTCTCTTCTAAAAAAAAAAAAAAAGTTGTTTAGCGGATGGCTTCTAAGGATGTTAAAACTGTGCTTGTAATTTCTGTAGTTCTCTTATTTATAAACTGCCAGTTGGTTATGGTGAAATTTCTGCTCATACATCTTGATATAAGTTGGTATACAAATTAAAATGGAGTTGCTTTGTAATTTTAATTAATTTTTAGATGCAGATCAAATTTAGCATTGATTATTCTACATTAGGCTTATGAATTTAGGAGCTTGGTTTGAAGAGTTAAATGTGAGTTGGAGTGAGACCTTAATTATCATGTGAATAACATACACTAAATAGACCGGTGAGGTGGGTTTGTGGGCTTCCCCCTCTGAAAGTTTAGAGAAATGCTTTCTAAGAGAATTTCTGAGGCTTTGTTTTTTTCTGCACCTCTCCAAACAGTAGTTATTCCTCTTTCATTGGAAGTCCATTGGCAATGGCCACTTTTATAGAATTGATGCGGCAGGAGTGTGTGGTCCTCCAGCTTGTTTTACTGAGAAGCTGACATCCGAAGTACATTTCTACCCCAAGACCGCGATCAGGTGATGTGGCCTGCTTGTTAATTCTTGCTGAGTGTGTTTGGTTCCTAACTATCTGCCGTGAAGTAGAAGCTTTATGACGTGCAGCCCGGTGAGAGCAAAGATGTTTTCTGAAAAAAGTCGTGTCGGACAACTGGCTAGTGACCATATGTCACAGTCATAGCTTTCCCCCTCCTTTTACACAGTGTGGCTTAAGGTGTGTGCTGGCACGTGCTGTTTGTTAGCTGTTACTCTTCTAAGTTTGTTGAAGAATCCACTTGGGCATGAGACAGGCCAGCGTTTTATATGTAGTCAGCGGGAGTGAGTTCTCTGTTGTTTTGTTATTAACATAGTATCAGATGAACTGTTAGGGAGTTGTCCTTCCTAAAAATGTGTGTTTATCTACTAGCCAGTTTTATGATGTCCTTTTGGGCACTAAGCATGCATTAAAGTGCAGGGTTAGATTGATTTGGAGTAATTTCTTTTTGAAAGAATTTTTGCCAATTCGTTTTCCTTTCCAAAAGAAATGGTTTCAGAGCATGGGCTCTTAGCCTAATGTCAATTCCATAAGGCTCCTCTGTTGTGGGTTTTTTTGGGGGGGGTTTGCTTGCCTCCTATCTTGCCCCCCCCAATCCCCTTAACTGGGCTTTGCTGTGAGGAAGACGTGTACCTGTAATCAGGCATTTCTTTACTTGCGGTTGTTTGTCATTCCAGATAGCATGGACCAAAAGAACAGGCTTGAGTCAGGGGAGGCAGTTATATAAACTGTGCTCATAGTTAAATATTTGCTTCCAGGGAAGGTGAAAAATGCTTTGTACTTTTTCCTTTGGCTTTTTTCCTTTAAGGGAGCTTGTCATGCAACAACAGAAAAAAGTGGCCAGAGGCAGAGAAAACTCTTCTCTTTTCCATGTTGGTTTGTTTTTATTGTAAGACAAACCTTTCATGTTTTATTGTTAATGAAGTTTAAACCTGGCGCAGAGGTGCCAGTCTTTAGTGGAAGCAGCTGCAGAGCTGGTGTCCCCTGATCAGGTGGGACTTTCTTTGAAGCAACATGCTGCCTTTTAAAAGAAAATTGAGCATGTGAGAACTTGAACCTGTGAAACTCATCAGTTCCACCATTGTTCATCTCTTCAATAACTGAGATAGTTTAAGTAAGACACTGGCATTTAAAAAGCACTTTTCATATTTTTTCTGAAGAGGATAGACTTGTTATTCTGTGTCTTAAGAATACGGAAATGGAGGGTGGGAATCACTCTTGAGGACTAAAGATGTAGCAGCCTGACTTAATTAAGCCCGTAGAGCGCACTGTCTTCGGCTCATCTGAACTGTGACTTTGATTTCCTGTATAATTGCAGATAACTGCCTTTTATAGGAGCAGAGCTAGGTGGTTGGGCATATACGCCTATTTAAGTAAAGTCTAGAGGTGTAGAGGTGAAAGATTTTCTACTCTCTGTTGATCGGTGTTGAAGCATTTCTCATCTTTGTGGCTGAGGGATACTGTTAGCAGTGGGCTTAGCATCGTTCTTGGTCTGCTGCTAGGAACAGTGGAGCATCAGAGAGCTTTCTTTCCTTGCGGGAAAAATAGGAGAGACAGGCATGGAGTCAGAGGGACAAGAAAAATGCTGAAATATTTTCCTTTGGGGCTTTTGATTTGTTTGCCAAAAAATTGCCTTCCAGATGGAGAGGACCGAAAGCTCTGATTGTAAGCCATTATGTTTTTACTGGCCGACCTCCCCACCCCATTGCCTGCTTTGAAACCTGTAAGCCAGTCCAAATCCTTTACCTCATTCTCTAGTACCAGTTTACTGTCTTACTCATCTTCCAGCTGCAAGCGGGTGAGGCAGGCCGTTTTGAAATTGAACCCTGTGCCGTTTTATGAACCAAGGAACAGCAGGTTCTTGCCAAGGAGTATCCGTCGTGATAGCTCCAGTTTCTCTGAAGTTCTTGACTCATGCCCACCAGGTGGACTTGTGCCTGTGACATGTGCGGTCGGATTAGTCTGGGAATGAATCTGAACAAGCTCTTTTGGCCTTGTGTGGACTTGTTACTACCCAGGTTGCCTAGCGTTCTGGGCTCTTGCATGGGAAGCACGATTCCTTTTTGCCTGTATCTTAGTGCGCTGGCAGGAGAAATCTTGATACTCCACTTTCCCTTGGGAGGTAGTGATTGTTTTGGGTTGAAACTGTACGGGAATCCAGTGTCAGGACATACAGTGGGGATACTGGCTTTGGAATTGGGCAGACTGGGGCCCAGCGCGCTGCTCTAGACGAGCCAGACAGCGTCCCCGAGCAGGCCATTTTCTGCGCTCGAGAGTGCGGGGTCACACCACATCAGGTCATCGTTTGCTTTAACAGGTAATTTTGGGGAAGGAGGAGAATGTTGGGGACTCATGGGAAATATTGAACTGTTGGTTCCTTCTCATTATGTCGATTTTGACTAGGTGAATTATTATGGTCTGTAAATGGATCGGTTTTCTACCATTCTGTTAAATTGTATGGAAATCGGGGTGATGTGAGTGGCTTTCAGATATTGCACATTGAAGCTGGCACCAAATCAGTACCTAAGGCTAGGTCTGTTGGACAGGGCACAGTGATCATTTTTAATTAAGATTCATGTTTGTGTAGCGTACAGTCATAGGAAGAAACACGCATCATGGCCACATATACACGGTAGGGGAGAGTGACCAGAAATCATTGCGGGTGCTAGCTTAAATACTTCCTTCAGGCCAGCATCAGCTGCACTGTTGCGTAGCTAGATCAAAAAAGATATGCATCAGCTTGCTTGCTAGTTCTCTGTGTTTGGATCAGGAAGGGTCAGGCTGGTCGACTGAGGTGCACTTGGCATGTTCGCACGCAGGAGTCAGGGTGGAGGAGAAGCAGCTCTTCGAATGCCAGTGGCACAGATTGGAGAACACTTGGGCAGGTGAGAGCTGAGGCTGTGTTTTGGTGCTTAATTGTAAAGACAGTGGTCAGGGACTCTCAGCCTGCAAAACAGATGGTCGGTAAAGGGCATCAGCATGCTCTGAAAGGTGCAAATAAAGTTGTCAAATCAAAGGGAAAAAATTAGGTTTCGGTTCTCTTCCTTGGCATGTTTCTTTTTTGGATAATGGGAAAATCAGTGTATCTCAAAGTTTGGGATGTGTATCACTACAGTGTGTGGGCTGATCTCTTCCTGAAGTGGTACTACAGACAAATATTTTTATTTAATGCTTCTACATTCATTTTAACACACCTTATGAAAAGAAATATAGCTAGCACTCAAACCTATGATTATATCAATAATGTACTTAAGTTGAGGCTGAAGTTACGTAATCAATACATGCATTGATTTTCTTTTTTCTTTTTTAAAGAAAGCTATTATGCGAACAGTCGCACAGGTGCTGGGTGGGTGTAGCAAAGCTGAGGCAGTGGCACTGGGATGGCCAGTGTTTGAGAAATGCTGGTGTGAGTGAGGGTGTGGTCCTTTGTATTCAAGCTCAGGTGCCTGTGAAGTCTCATCTAAAGCGAGGCATCTACAGATGTTTTCTGCCAGACCATTAAAATAGGCTTGTGTGTGTTCTTTTATTTTGAAAGATGGTGGTTAAAAATGCCCTATGAGTAGAATGAGGGGAGAGGATTAATCTCCACATTTGGACACTGACTGTGACAACCCTTTGGGATCTTCCTAAAAGGTAGCCATCGCTCAAAGTGCTGAAATGACGATGGGAGCTTCTAGCTGAGGCTGTTTATCTGACGTTCTGGCTGTGGCATCCCTAGGGAGGATGGGCAGGAGAGAGGGCCCTGGGTGCCAGAGGCCGTCCCCAAGCAGCTGGGCGCATGTCTCCTGGGGGGGAAGAGTCTGCTGGCTTATCCTCTTGCCCTCCGAGGCTTGTCCACACAGAGCGGGGAGCAAAGTTTTCATCCCCTATTGCGGGCAGGGGACCAAAGGCATCTAAAAAGCCTCTGACAACAAGAAAGAACATTAGAAATGAGAAAATCAACTCTACTAAATTTCTGCAAAGAAAAATCCTTTGCAGATACTCACATTGACGAAATGTCCATTTTATTTTTGTCAGGTTACTATTACGAGTGTAACACGTTGTTCCTCCTTCTCCGCAGGTACTGGTTTTGGATTAGGACTTGTTTTCTCACTTACCTTCTTTAAAAGTAAGTAACTCTTACCACCTTTTCCACATGATGTCCTGGTTGCAAGCACATAGCAGGGGCACTCCTGGGAGGCGCAGCTGCATGGCTGCCAGGCTGGACAGAGAATGTGGACTCAGCAGAGGTCAGAGTGGGCTGAGCATCTCCAGAATTCCCCTGGGGCGTATCTTAAATATGATATCATTTAAAAAGCCTGCCCTTAATGTCAGTTATTTGGCCAAATGTAGACATGCTCAAATATTTCTAATTAATTATATATATATATATTTTTTGGAAAGAAACTTGGAAATGAGAGTATTGCTAGTAATAAAAACAAGTGCACCAGGAATACGCATGCTTTTGGACCAAAAGTTCTTCTCGGCAAAGGGCAGGCATTGTGCCTTTCATTCTGCGGAAGGACCGGAGTTTGGCTGTTGCCCTCTTCCGTGGAGAACTGGTGGGGGTTCATAACCAGAGACTCTTCAATAACACTTCGTGCTGATATGAAATAATCATCTACAGCATCGGCCTAAGTACACCCCACCACTAACCATAATCAGAATATGAAAATATTGTTGAGATTCCTAGATGTTTTTAAAACCCAAGCACTTGACTGAGAGTTGGTATTATTTCTGCCAAGGTTAAAAAATTAGTCAATGAGCATATGATTAGACCTGATAAGAAGTTGTTAAAAGTTTGAACTATGTCTGCTGTTTTCATATTATATTATATACCATTCATATGTTCCATTATGAATACCTCCAACCTGGCAGCATAAGCACTTAATAAGTACTTGGTAAATTAATTTTTATTAATAGCCTCCCTCTTCCTTTTTTGACTATCGATGAAACATTGAGAAAATCGGGCGTAGCATAGTCATCCGTATGAGGCGTGTGGAATATTTGTCGGACCCTAAGCAGATGTGTGCGAGCCAGAGAAAAAGCTGCCTCTTCTCACCGAGGTGCCCCGTCGGGGTGTCCTGTTTCTGCTCTCCAGGGAGAATGTGGCCGCTGGCCTTCGGCTCCGGCATGGGACTGGGCATGGCCTACTCCAACTGCCAGCACGACTTCCAGTCTCCGTACCTGCTGCATGGGAAGTATGTCAAAGTACGTACCGAGCTGATGCTTCTCTTTCCTTCCAGAGAAAAAGAGTTTTCTCCCGAGTCCTCGAAGACTTCTTCATAGTGTATGTAATGAATAAGCTGTGTGTGTCCTCTGGCACCAGGGACCCTGATGGCTCTCTGACCATTAGCGCTGCTGACACCGTGTTGGCGCCTGAAGTCTCTCCCCTCCCCTGTACCTTGAGACGCACGTGTACGTTCAGACATATGCTCACGTGGTACATGGCTGGAGTTGATGAACCTGCCTGACAGTGTGTTGTCATGGTGAAGTAGATCTGTGTGAAGACTCCGAAGCAGCACTTCTGTTCACGACCTCAGGATGCCCTGTGAGCATCTCACATATACGCAGGCTAGACTTGCAGACTTCTGGGGTTCAGTCATCATTCTGCTTCTGACTGAAAAGGCCAGGTTTTTGTATGTCCCACATAATTCTGCCGAAGTCTTGTCTACAGATGGATTTTTGATGATGCCGACAAGATGAAAAATTACAATACTTGCCTCAGGAGGGAAGCATTTCCTGAACATCGTGTGTGTGTGTGTGTGTGTGTGTGTGTGTCAGCGTTCCTCATCGCCGTACTGCAGATGACGCTGGTTACCATGGGGTTTAAGTGAAAGGGTCCTGCGAGGCTGGGTGCTGCAGAACCCAGGGGTGTGTGTGTTTTTGTTTTCCCAGGGCCTGGAACAAAGTAGGCACACGATGTGAAAGGAAGGAATGAATGAATGGAGCAAATGGTATACTGTTAGAGGGGTTAATGGCCCTCAGGCTTACTAAGGCGAACCTTTATAGCAATACGAACTTCAGTGAAGAACTTCACATTTCCTAGCTATGTAGAACCATCTACTTCCTGGGTTGCCTTTGAGCTAGAATTGCTATGACCCGGGAAGCCTCAGGGGGCTCTCAGAAAGAGCACAGACGCCAGGGGACTTGGGCATGAGTCTGGTCCTTCTCCTGCTTCCTAAGGAGTCTTGAGTTGTTCACTTCTGAGACTCTCTTTTCTTTCTACAAAATGAAGGAGGTGGTTGCCACTCACTGGGTTGCCGCGAGAGTTAAATGTGAGCATGGCTTTAGAAGGTGAGGTATTTAGCCAAATAACGAACACACAAATCGATGTGTTCGTTATTATGGTTAAGGCTGACCAAGAACGGGCGATGGACTTGTCCATTGTTTCATCATAATAACAAGTAATGAGTGTCTTAATTCCGATCAAAAGCTGTCACCAAATCTTAAGTGACAGCACACCACCACAGCTCAGTAGCCTCTCTCCTAGAACCTGCCCAGAATGCTAGCTCCCTGCCGACCCTCCTGTGCACGTTTGGAGAGAGTGGGAGCAGGGGAGTTGGCCAGCTAGATGGTGGCAGGCCTTTTGCCGCCTCCCACGTTCACGAGCCACTTCCATGCCAGAGCCAGGGTGAGGCAGTCAGAGGGGCAGCGCGAGAAGAGGCGCAGCTGCGTGGCGCAGAGCTGACGACAGGCCGTTCCCACCACTCCCCAGCTCTTCACTTCCTTGGCACCACAGCCGCGTTTGGGGAGGAACAGAAAGGCACAGGGAGAGGAGCTTCAGGTCTTTTAATTATTTGGAATGTTCCCAACTGAGTTGCCATGGATAATGGCTCAGGGGTGGTTATAGGCATATTATATATTTAATGGCTGGGACTTAACTGTGGAAAATATTGTTACATTTTTTACAGCCTTGTGTGTACTGCTCCAAAATGGCCTTGTAACTTTATCTGAACTTGAGTCTATGCCTCGATGTTGTCATCCTCCATTCTCTAAAAAGAGGAGCAAAATCCCAACTTGGAGCTTTTCGAATGTAGTCCTATTATGGTGATTGCTTCTTGAGTGCCTGCTGTGCCCTGCGGGTCACCCGGGGTGCTCTGCGTCCTTTTTCTAGCCCCCCGGGCCCCAGTAGGTCTGTGAGAGCCGTCCTCGGCCTCATTCAGAAGAAGAGGAATCTGAATCTTACTGAGGTTAAGAAACTTGCCGAAGATCCCATCGTTAGTGGGCTGTTTGATTGCAGACTCAGGTTTCTTCCACTCCCCCGGGATCTGGCCCTGTGACAGGTTAGGAATATACCTAGTCAGGTGCTGATCATCTGGCCCTGTTCCACTCCTTTCCCGCCCTCCTTCCTCAAAGCTGGGGAACCTTCCTTCGGAACTTGGCCAGGATGTAACAGTCCTTCTGTGAGATAGTTTTAAAGCAAACGGGGGGGTGGTGAGGTTTGGGGCCCGTGGGTCCCTTGGGTGTGCCCTGCAGCAGCAAGTTAGAGAGGGTTGTGAAAACTCTGTCTGCACAACTCTAACCCGAGCGCCCTTGTCTTACAGGAGCAGGAGCACTGACCCCACCTGAGAACACCCCAGTGGGAGGCGAAGAGAAGTCATGTTTATTCCTCAGGAACCCTGAAGTGCTCTGGAGTAAGCCGACATTCTTCTGTAGCGATGTTTTCAGCAATGCTTTAAACTCCAGCACACTGTTTATGTATTTGAAACCAAGGCTGTTTCTTGTTTTGTATTTTCTCTCTGGAAATTGCAAGGAGGTGGTCTTAGAAGAAATAAATTAAACAGAAATGGGCAGCCCAGTGCATTGCCTGCATTTCTTTGCCCTTGGTATCTGAGCAGGAGGAGGATTGTACCGGAACTGCCTGCTGCTGTAAACGCCCGGTCCCGGTCTCTGAGAACCGTCCTGAAGCCACAGCCGTCGTGCATTCCTAGTGTGTGGTTTTCGGAACAGTTTCCACCTCGCAAGTCAGGGGGTGGAGGTTGCTGCTCTATTGCCTGATGGAGATGATGAGTGTCGAGAGGAGTTTGGCCTCTTTGTTCTCACTCCTGGGTGGGCCTGGCGGGCGTGTTTCAGCTGGGCCTGCTGTGCGGAGGTCAGGTGTGTCTGCGCCGTGCAGCCTGACGGTGCCGATGGCTCCCTGTGCCGTGTCACGGGTCTCTACAGCTCCGTGGATCTTGACACGCTCCAGGCTTCAGCGCCGGGGGCTTCGTCCTGGGGTCTGGGAGAGTGCGTGGCACACCCACCTGGCTGGAAGGGCATGTTTAGGCTTGATTTGTGTCTTTGTGTGATAGCTGAATCCAAAGGCCAGGGGGCCACTTCTGATGCCTCTCTGTGAGTTTATTCCTTTGGCTTTTCTTGAAACAAGGAGGCTGAACACAAAAGTAGTATTGTAGCAGTTTCTTCTGAAAATATACAGAAGCCCAGAACCCAGTCGTTCATAATTTATTTCTCTCCTTATAATAAAACTAAGATGGGCAGAGCTTGGTCCACCTGTTCCTTTATCCTGTAAATGCTGACTGAGCATCTACCAAACAGGGTTAAGTGGATGAAAAGGTAAGGCATAGGCCCCTGCCTTCAAGGAGCTGCGAGTCTGGTGGAAAGATAGATGTACAGACTCTTTTGACACCGGAAGAGGAGGTTCGTGGACAAAGTACAGGGAGAACAAAGGAGAAGAAACAGCGAAGTCTCCTGAGGGTGTCCTGGCAGAGGAGGAAATAGTGTGGACTGAGGCTTGAAGTTGACCTGGACGCTCCCGACAGGCGAGGAAGAAGAGGACAGCAGTTGACGCAAAGGCTCGGAGTCCTGGCGCAGTGTGACAGTGATTGGGAAACTGCAAGTGGACCGGGGTAGCTGCAGAGTGCAGGGCAGGGGAGAGGGGCAGACGGGTGAGGCTGGGCACCAGGGTGCAGCCAGTGCCTGACCCCGGTTCTGGAGCTTCCACTCGTCAGTTCTTGCCAGTGTTGTAATAAGTAAATTCAGGGCAGGAATACGGCCTCTTTCTTCCCTCCCTCATCCTTCACTGTAGTCCTCTTTCCGAAAGATGTGCCAACCTCCGGACCAGAAGCAGCAGCCGCGGCCCTCTGCCCGGCACCCTGTCTGGGCTCCTCTGCTCTCTGGGCTGCTTTGTTTCTTTGGGTCAGTTAAAGCCCAGAGACCAGCCATAGCCGGGGCTTGCTATAGCCATTCCACTGTTTTTCACTTTGCCCCGTTTGCTCCGTGATCGAGACAGCCCATGTAATTAAAAGAATAACCCAGCAACCTGCTTCATCCCTTACACGTGTCTTCTCCATATTTGCTTTAAAAGCTACTATTTCCCCCCAGTTTTTTCATTTTTATTCAGGCAGAGAGAAGAATGACAGGTCCCCATCCAAAAAGGGAGAGAAACAGGAAACATGCGGTGTCCACTAACTCTCCGGGTGTGTTAGAAGACCGTGGAGTGGAAATGGGCGCTGGAGTCAGACCGCTCCATCTCATTAGTTACTAGGGTTAGGCATTTATTTGGAGGGATCCCTTTGCCCAGCATCTTTGAAATACTGCTCATGTGTTTTGAGAAACTGGTGAGCACTGTGAGGAAATAGTTCTGGGCGAAGGCCGGCCAAAGGAAGCAGTGGCTGTTTGCTTTAATTCCAGGGTACTTTGTATTCCTGTCTTGTAGCTCTTAGCAGAGACCGGCCCGAAGCACAATGCTTGATCTTGTCCCCACTCCCTGCCCCCATCTCAAATCAACCTTCAGAAAGTTCCAGCTCATTGGCAAAGGCCTACATTCTGTTCTACTCTAAATTAGAAATTCAAGTCTTCGGGGACCTGTTCCCTTGTGGGGTTATGAAGCTTTGACTTTGCTTCTTGTCTTCCCTTCTGGAATTAAATGTGAGGGAATTCATGGGTTTGCGGGCAGAGAGAAAGAAAGAGAGAGAGAGAGAGATACGGGAACCCGGCTGGGCACAGGATACGAGGATAAAATTGTGGCGCCCCCAAAGAGGCCTGCTCTGCCAACATACATAAATACATACAGTCTGAGCTTGACACTGTAATTTGGCCCAGAACAATGTGTATTTGGAACTCATTTAGGTGAATGACTTTGGCATTCCAAGTACCCACTGGGGGAGCCTTTATCAAGCTGCATTTGCCTTTTGCAGAAGCACGCCTTTGTTCTGAGAACTGGCCTCAGACGCACTCAGCTGAGCTGTCTCCTCCAGTGAGTGTCATCCCCACTCATCCACTTCAAAGGTCCGAGGATGCAGCCTTGAACTCCTGCTCGCAGGAGATGCAGAGGTTGGGCATGGAGGGGAAAATCCACGTAGCTTTCCGTTTAGTTTTCCCAAACCTCACTGTTTACATTTTTTTCCATGTAACCAAGCCATAATTACATTTTACTTGTTGTGGTACAATCTGATTGTATTGTTGCAGGACTATTTTCGAACCTGTCCAAATAAACTCTGCAAAGTATTTCCACAAGGATGGACTCCATGGGGCTGGAACAGCCTTCCTCTTGACTGGTACTGAGACACAAACGGTTTCCTATTGCATGCTGACTAATTACAGAAATGCAAAGGGGTGGAAGGGAGAAAGTGGAAATTCTAAGTACCAAAAGGAATGTCAAATTTAGAATAACAGGCTCATCTGGAAGCTATCACCGCTTTTTAAAGAGTGCTGCAAGCCCTGCTTCCCCTCCGACACCAGAGGAGGATTTCGGGGTGAACAGACCTGGGCAGGGGCAGGACAGAAGTTCCCACGTTCATGCAGCTGCCTTTGTGTGGGATGAGTGAGAGTCAGTGACAAGTTAGAGTGGACCTGGAGTCGGGGGGCCTGGATCCAAGTTCCTGTTCCACCATTTACTTGTCATGTGACCAGGGGGGCGAGAGGGTGGGGCTCTCTAACTTCCCTTTCATCTGTAATGGGAGAAGAAGTAATTCCTACCTTATAGGCTTTGGAGGTCAAATACATGTGCTAACACAAGTATTTAAAAAGTGGTTGCTATTTGAATCAGAGTAGAGTGCATGGTTTTAATAAGGTCAGTAGGGGACTGTTCCGGAATAGAAAGGGTATAATCTTTGGGCTCCATTTGGCTCTTAGAGTCTAAATTAGCAAGATCTGATGGGGAAAATGAATTTCTCAGGTGATTCCTGGTAATAAGAATTGTTAGAAAACTGTGCATCCTCACCAGTAAGTATCCATGTTGGTTACCTCCACTCCGTTAAGGTACAAACAAGTGGGTCCAGACCACTCAGGCTCAGGGGGTTGGGCATCGTCCTCCAGGGTGAAAGGTTGCTGGTTTGATTCCCTCCCAGTCACGTTGATGTTGCTCTCCTTCTCTCATTTCTTCCCTTCCCTTCTCTCTAAAAAGAAATAAAAACAACAACAAAAGATACACATGAGTCAAGTCACTGTGGCTTCTCCCCTTCTGAAACTCCGCCTTATGGGAAATGGGGGGGGGGGCTCCAGCACGCAGGGAACCAAACAGGCTGAGCACTTGCGTGCAGGGTAATTGGCTTCAGTTGTGCCGTCCTCGCTCAAGGAGCTCGGAGTCAGAAGATGTAATGGGAGAAGGAGGAGTCAGGAATTCTAGGAGGAAGTCGGGAGTGGGCCGGAGGGAGACTTAAATAGGGAAGAAACTGGGCCTGGAAAAAGAGCTCCTTGTCAGCTGTCGGTCAGGTCACCTTTATTCCTGGTCTAGCCAGTTGGAGGCCGGCAGAACTTAATTGAGTCACTTCAGATGAATATATAAGAACAGTACTTACAGGATACACACTTTGTGCCAGTTACTGTGCTAAGGCTTCACATATATCATGTGGCTTAATTTTTACAACAATCTAATGAGAAAAGCACTATTATCTGCATTTCATAGATGAGACAGGTTTTGAAAAGATAGATTAGCTTCCTCAAGGACACACAGCTAAGAGGTGATACAGGAGGGATTTTTACTGATTTCCAAACCCAGAGTCTCAGCTGCTCTCTGCTCTGCTCAGCGAGAGCTGTTTAAACTGAGAAGGTTCATTCTAAATGGTTTGGTCCAGCGTAAACCTGATTTGACACAAACCTGACAGAACTAGTTGAAATTGATAAGAGTTTCATTGAGTTTAAATTGTTAAGAATAAGTTGATCTGATTTGGAATCAGCCATGTTAAAAAGTAAAAATAGTAATTCCCATGTTCATTAATTGAAACATAATCGTCAACTAGAGCTTCAGGTCAGTACTGCTGATGAGTTTTACTAAATCCTTGCAAATGTCATAAAGCATCATGACATTTTATTAACCTGTTCATCTTAAAAGCTATGTACACTTTCAGTGAGGTTTTTATTTTAAGACATAACTTACAAACAGTAAAATGTACCCACCACTAGGTAGAAAGTGGAAAGCAACCTTTTTAATAATGTATGCTGATAATATTTACTACCTTTACATTTTACTTTTAAAGAGTTACATTTTTTGGTAACTTGATTTTGATATTACTATACTCACAGGAAAGTTTTGAACATAGTTCAAGGAACTCCTTTGTCTCCTTTACCCGTGTTCACCAGTCGTTCACGTTTTTCCTTATTTACCTTATGGTTCTGTATGTGTGTGTGCAGTATTTTTGAACCATTTGAGAGTAGATTGGAGACACCATGCCCACTCACCCCTGAACTTCATTGCATTCTCCAAGAGTAAGGACACTACAGTGCACTTATCAGGATCAGGAAATCAACACTGGTACAATAGAATTATTTAATCCATGCTTCATATTCAAATTTTGTAAACAGTCGAAATAACAGATCGTCTGCCTGTTTTCCCCAGCCCAGGACCCAGGCCTGG